ACAGTCAGGACCATCTCCTATCGCAATCAGTTTTCCTCATGATGGCTGGGGCTTGCCATAAATAGGTGCGAGTTACATCAACAAATAAAACAAAATGAGCCTTGGCTAGCCGCAGCACCATTTCAAGGTTCCGGTCCGATTCCTCCAAGAAAGCGAGTCACCCATTTCGGGCCTGGGACCTGCCCAAGGTGCCCTGTTTTCCCATATCTCAAGGTTTGCTGTAGGCAACGTGGGAATGACGGGTCCACTAGGTTGGGTCAATCCGACATTTGTCAGGCCCAAGAACTTAACCCAAAATTGCTTAGAACAAGGGTACCAACTTTTTCTGCAGTCTATTTTACTAGGGGAACCGAATCTCCCAACCAAAAATGGTAGAGAAGGGCACCAATCGCTGGGGGACCTAAAACCTTTTAGGACCGAGACTTGACATTGCCCCACCATAGAACCTGCACAGTTCTAGCGGTACCTTCCATTTCCATTGTGCAGAAATGTGACTTACCAAGGATTCTAAGGGTACTTTCCCAATTTTTCCAGGGATCCGAATCTTTCTAGAAAACCTCCACAATCCAATGGAGAAAAACAACGCCGCGTTTTTGAAAAGAATGATGGTTGAAAAGAATGGAGAAACAACCCCTAGAACAATGGTTGGACCATCTGCATGGCACCGGTTGCAGAACCCCCTAACCAGTTTCCACCAGCGAGTCATCTTTTCCTCTGTCGGCTTCGGCCCGCCTGGATCGAAATTCCAGGGACACTCCACTGCCAAGTCCAAGCGCGGCATGGCAGTCGCGCGCTGCAAGGCCCTTCCTGGATCCGCTGGAACACGAGGGCTGCGGATGCCAGAATGGGCCGCAGGTTTCACGATTGAAACGCACCTGATGTTTCTTTGGGGAAGGTAGCCACTAGCGAAGGATCAGTGGCTCCCGAATTTGAGGCATTTCCTTTGGTTTTCCAGAGATCCTTAGCGCTGTTGACTGTTCGGTTGGGCTTTTGGCTGCTGGCTGTTTGTTGGTCTGTTTATGGTTTTGTCGCCCTGAGGCTCGGGAGCAACCCTCTCTAACCCTAACCTCTAACCCTCTAACCCTAACCTCTAACCCTAACCTCTACCCTTACCTCCCTCTAACCCTAACCTCTAACCCTAACCTCTACCCTTACCTCTAACCCTAACCTCTAACCCTAACCTCTAACCCTCTAACCCTAACCTCTAACCCTAACCTCTACCCTTACCTCTAACCCTAACCTCTAACCCTAACCTCTAACCCTAACCTCTAACCCTAACCTCTAACCCCAACCTCTAACCCTCTAACCCCACCTCTGACCCTAACCTCTACCCTTACCTCTAACCCTAACCTCTAACCCTAACCTCTAACCCCAACCTCTAACCCTCTAACCCTACTCGAACCCTGCCTCTAACCCTAACCTCTAACCCTGACCTCTAACCCTAACCTCCAAACCTTAACCTCTAACCGTGAGGATGGATAATCATGATGAAAGACTACGGGAAGATGACGGAAGACTACGGGAACATGACGGGAAGCTCTACGGGAAGCTGACGGAAGACTGTGGGAAGATGACGGAAGACTCTGGGGAACATGGCAGCGGAAGGCTGGGGGGATGATGGAAGGCCTTCACACGGAAGGATGACGGGGGCCTGACCCAGACTTTCACAGGAGGATAGCAGAAGACAGGAGATGACGGAAGACTACAGGGGAGATGTGGGGAAAGTGACAGGGAAGTTACGGGAAAGTGGCAGGGAAATGTGGACGAGCGGAAGACATGGGAAGCTAGTGACGGAAGACTACGAGGAAGATAATGGAAGATACGGAGAAACAGCGGGAAGATGACGGAAAGGTGCGGGAGATGACGGAAGAGCCCTTCCCTGAGGAAAAGATGACGGAAGACTACGGGAAGATGACGGGAAGCTGACGGAAGACTACGGGAAGATGGCGGAAGACTACGGGAAGCGGGAAGCTGACGCGAAGCTGACGGAAGACTACGGGAAGATGACGGAAGACTACGGGAAGATGACGGGAAGCTGACAGACTGCAGCTAGATGTGAAGACTCACAGGAAGACAACGGAAGACTCTGAGAAGATGACGGAAGACTTCTGAGAAGACTCTGAGGAAACGACGGAAGAGTGCGAGATGACGGATAGCCGGAAGACCTGCAGGAAGCAGCGGAAGACTGGAAAAGATGGCAGAGAATGATGAGACTCAGAAGATATTCTAACCCCAGCCTCTGCCCTGGCGTCTGCCACGGAAGACTCACGAAACGATAGGAAGATGACGAAAGACAGGAAATTGTGAGAGAAGACTTTCTGAAGATAACGATGATGATGATGCTGATGCTGCTGAGGATGATGAAGATGATGATGATGATGATGATTATGATGATGATAATGATGAAGAGTGATGATGATGGTGATGCCGATGATGATGATGACGCCGCTGACGATGATGACGATGATGATGATGATGAAGTTCGGGGTTGGTCCTCGTTAGACTACCGGCCTGACGTCAACCAAAAAACTCCCGCAAAAGGACAAGTCTCTTGCGCCTTTTTGGTCACGGCAACCGGGAAAAAGGAGCGGTTGCATCCCCAGCTTCACCAGCATCATACTGCCTGTCTCTAGCGTGATGCTAGGGATGCTGGGGATGCAAGACCTGCCTTTTTTGTCTTGGACAACCGGGAAAAAAGGCAGCTTTTGCATCCCCAGCTTTGCCAGCATCATCTCGCAAATGCCTTCGATGATGCCTAGCATGCTGGGGACAGAAGCTGCCTTTTTGGTCTGCCACGACCGGGGAAAAAGACAGCTTTTGCATCCCCATCTTTGCTAGCATCATCCTGCTGAGGATGCCGATGCCGATGGTGATGTTGTTCTGATGATGGATGATGAGGATGCTGAGGATGATGATGACAGTGATGACGATGATGATAATGATGCTGATGCTAATGATGATGATGTTACGGGGGTCGGCGGCATCAGGCGTCAGCCTGCTAAATCCGGCTACGCCTCCTGGGGTAGCATGTCGCCGCTAGGCAATTAGCCTGCTAGCTTTAGCTATAGGGGGTGCACCCTGGTGCCGCCGACCCTCGCCACTTGGTCGTGATGCGCGGCTTAAATCCGGCACCTCTGCATCACCAGCTCGGGCTTGCGGTTTTGCTTGCCCGTGGGAAACCCTCGCAAAACATCGCGTATATGCAGGGTTTAGGCCATGTGGCTGACATCATCAGGGTCTGGGGTTGGGCCTGGGTGATGCTTCAGCGGGGCTTGGTCTGCATCATCAAGACTTCCTTCCAAAAAGCCTCTCAACCCAGAGGCTCATTCTTGCGCATTTTGGCGCCAAGCGCTGCTGGGCATGCCGTCCTCGCTCTCCAAAACGCTGTAAATACCGCCAAAAAAGGAAAACGCTGCTATTTGCGGTGTTTTGTTGCGTTTGCGTTTCCGGGCTGGTTTGCGGGCTGTTCTTTTTGGGCTGCTGTTTCTGGGGCCTCTGGCACGCGCGCGCGACCCCATGTCAGCCTTCTGGGTTGGGGCCCGGCTGGGGCCCAGAAAGCTGGCATCCCCGGCATCACATGCAAAACCTAACCAGCCATAACATAGCACAGGATATGTTTCTCATACAAAAACCATGACATGACATGGTCTAACTTCAAAGAGGCGTAGCCGGCTAGAGGCCGCAGGCCCAGAAAATAGAGTTTGACAGGATCCTTTGAGGGATGCGTGGCGTTTTCAGAACTAGGGACTGATAGAGCCTCCCTCTATTGGTCTACTAGGGTGTCTTAGGGGCCTCAGAAAGGGCTTGCGGGGAACCCCAACCCTTTTCGGATAGCAAAGCCAGCATCCCAAAGCAGTGGTCCACGAAGGGGTGGAAGGGGTGGTTTTCCTTGACTCAAAACATTGCGCCCTTCAAGCTCCGTGGGCAAAGTGGCAAGTGGCAAGTGGCAAAGTCGGAACTTCCCACTTGCTTACCAGGAGCGATCAGCTGCAAGGCTGAAGTGAGTTTAATTGAGCGACCTCCATGTAAGAGCTGCATGAGGGCTACATTTTCTGGATAAGCTTGCCCGGATCACACACCTCAATAAGGATTCTGCCAGGGATATTATCATGGGCTCAAGCCGAGTTTATCTTCATAACCCGCGATCGGTGAGTTATAACCGGGAGTTGCAGTTGGGTTGCTGCTCGAAGATCTTAGCAGAAAAGTCAGCAGCAAAATGCATGAAGCTGCAGGTGGAAGAAGGGATTCCCATTGATTTTCTGGGCGGACATTTCGGACACATCTCAAAACCATGAACGGGTGGAGACCATGTTTGCACAATTTAGAGGGTAATGTTCATCTGTTTGCCTGTGTTATAGCTTCCTGCTGTGTTTCAGGGGATGTGTTGTCGTTCCCTCTTGATTTCATGGGAACCGCCAATGAGTGGTGAACATATTGTTGGTCATGTCTGGACTGGCGAGTTTTGCAGCCCAGCCAAAAGCATCATGAATAATCAGCTCCATCCATCGCTCTTGTTCAACAACACACACACACACACACTCTCTTTTTAAATGCAAACATTGACTCGGTTGCTCCTCTGCTAAAAGTTTAACTTTTAGTGGTGTAATGGACAACCCATTAGTAACATCCAAGCAAAATGCACCAAAGTTGATGGATCCAGTCTTTTGTGGCCAATTCCTGCTAGCAATGGTCTTTCGATTGGAATGCATGAAGCAGCGCTAGAACCAAAGCAAAAGGCACTTTTGCGACCCACGCGTGGTCCCATGGCTGTATCGAGCTGAGAGTGAAAGCCGAAAATCAGAAGCTGCACATTGTTGCCGAAATGGATGGGATCACTGGGCTGCCTCAGATCCCTCGCTAAAAGTTTAACTGTGGGTTAAATGGAAAGTACCACTAACCACCAAAAGGCTAAAAGCTAAGGGGATGGCTGGGAGCCATCAAGATCAACACAGCTAGCGGAACCCAATCGATGCCAACCGGTGTGGCACGTGCGCTCAGCTGGTCTTCTGCATCTTGCGCTTGCCAAGCAGGATCAGCTTCTTGGCCAGAGCCTGAGCTTGGGGTCTGACACGTATCGGGGCTGCCCGTTTTCAGATCCCCCGAAAAGTGATTTTAGCAAGTCAAATGGAAATCCAACCACCAAACACTAAAAATATCTAAAAAGCTAAGGAACCGGATGGCTGGGAATTACTGAGGTATGTAGTCTGTTCCTGTCCCCTCTCGTCGGGGTGATGTGATGTTTTCTTTTTGGGCAGGTTGCCCCCTTTTCAGGGTCATGGTGTGACTTTTTCGGAGGGTGCCCTTTTTGGGGACTTGGTCAGGTCTGCCACTTCAAAAAACATCACCTGGCCAGACGCATCCTGCAAGTGTCAACTTTTTGCTGGGAAAACCGGAAGAATGAGGGAAACCAAAGGGGCAAATATGCAAAAGTTGGTCCAGTCTGGCACTGATATAGGTTTGTCTCAACACAGGGGGACCCATCAAAACTGGCAGGTCTCCTTTTGGTTTTCCTGAGCAATAAGCTGAAAAGAGCACCCTCAAAAGAACACGCACACACACACACACACTCGCTTGTATTGACAAGAACCCTGACTCGTTGCGCCGCGGCGCTGGGGTCTGTTGGATCACCGCGTCCAGTTGATCCTCCTGTCGGACCAACAGCCCGCCATCTGCTTGCAGCATCTGCCAGCACAACTTCTCCAGATGGCCTAGGCTGAACGCGTTCGCAAAGGGAAAGCGGGAACTCCCGGCTTGGGGGTCCAAAGCTCAAACTCTTTTCAGGTAGTTTTGAAGGTAACCAACAGCGAAAATAACCTGCCACAGGGATAAGCCCACTTTTTTGAACAGTTCTAAGCAACAGCTCTAAACGGGTCAACACTCTTTTTGAGCTTTGTCAGGTTTTTTAGGGGGGAAAGGAACAGATTCTTGTGGGCGTGGTTTGTTCTTGTTGGAATCCAGAAACGGTGACAGTTGAGTCCAAAAGCGCAACCCAATCGCTGCAAGATCTCTACCAATGAGAATCGGGCGTGGTCAACTTGTTGTGAGGCTTCCCCCGTTCCGGACGTGGCTTCAAGGGGAAACCAGGACAACTGTCACACTGGAGTCTCCCCTATTCAAAGACAAAGCGGGCAAACCCAAAAACGAAAGGACAAACTCTCCTGCTTAGTCAAACAGAGCGTGCCCAGGTAGGTCTCGCAAGTGAAACAGGAATGCTGGCATGTCGCCACCAATATCTAGGACCTGGTGCAAAATGTGCAGCACGTTCTCTTCCGAGAGCATGTCCTTGAGCGTGCACCGTGCTGCCTGCCAACAAACACATGAGCAGCTGATGCCTGAAAGAATGGGGAATCAGCCCCTAGAATTTCGGCTGCTCCAGCGCACTGCCCGAAAAGGCTGCGAGGGCGAATTTTCAGCAACGTAGCCAGGGCTTACGTGCGTCTTGCGTGTGGCCTTATGTAGTCTATTTTTGTAGGGGGTTCCCCTCCCAACTCCCAACCAAAAAAGGGGTGAACAAGTTGGCACCTAGCTGGGACACCTACAAGGGGAACTTATGTTTGACGGGCTGAGCTTATGCGTGATATCGTGTGATGCTTGCGCACCATGTTTCCTCAACATCTGCTTATCCCACCTGAAGCCGCTCAAGACTTTTGTTCACCCAGCAAGTTGGTATATGACACAACTCCCACTAAATGAACGTGGAGGTTTAACATGGTGTTGCCCCTCGACCTCCTGTGAAAGGAACAGGCACATTTGCAACCCGTTGACTCCCTTGATTCATCACACTCAGGACCCCAGCCCCGTAAGTTATTATGCCATGAACACGTACCCTGCCTCCCTCAAATCTCGCAAGCAGAATTTGTCCGCTATGGCGTGCAGCGCTAAAGCCAGCTCCAGATCCACATCCGGGTCGAGGCACTTTGTCAGGAGAAAGCTTAGCATTGCGGACACGCACTGGTGGCTTGCGTTCGCATCCTGGCGCAGGTCAACTACGCCAGTTGACGCTTCCTTGCATTCCGCAGCGAACATCTTTTGAAAGTACTCGGAGCGTGCCACCAAGATACCTGGGCTGCCCTCAAATCTCCCGCTAAAAGTGACTAACTTTTACCACTAAACACTAAAAGTCTCCAAAGCTAAGGAGCCGGATGGCTGGGAGCCGCCAAGATACGTTGGTCAAAGATGAGGGGTGGCCCGTCTGGCACCAAGATCCGGACCGGCTGAAGCTCGGCGGACAAGTCGATTTGTAGGGCATTGCCTTGGTTGACGTTGGAAGGGGAGCAACAACTTAAATCTTAGCAGTTAAGGCGGGATTTCAACCCCTAAACCATAATAAGCAAAAATGTAAAATGCTTCCCAACAACAACCATGTTGCGAGGCTTCGCAAAAGGAAGGTTGCTGACCGAAGCACGCACGCGGACCTTGGAGTCTCCATCCAACAGTCCCGACCCGCGCGTCAGTTCCTGAAGCCTCACTAGCTTGTGGAAGCCATATTCCGCGGGACGGCCGGGGCGGCCGTCCCGCGGAGTGAAAGTGTGCGTACGTATCTTCAGAATCTCCTTCCCCACGATGCTGCTCATCACCCGAATGCTGCACCGCACATTCTTGCACTCCCATCCTTGCATATTCTTCTCGGGGGGTAGTACCCGCACAAAAGCAGAGATCGCGTTTCGAACCTCGCCTGTTCCGGCCGGATACCTTCGTGCTCGGTCACAAGCTGCTTGCAAACACCAAAAAAACATCCAAGACATGCTTGTGCCAACAAACCAGCAACAACGTAACCACTAGCAAACAAACAGAATGCCATACTTGCGCAAGTTGATATTTGTTTGCCTCACCTGTTTGAGGAAGCTTGATAATCTGATAGAGGCAGCCTTTTGAGACCATGACACATAGACGGCTTTAGCCAAACGAGCTGCTAAGCTCTGCCAAGGTACACCCTCAGCTGGCATCTGAAACCACCGGGAGGGCCAGCAATGGGAGAATAGAGTTTTTCGCCTCTGGTCAAGCGAAAGACAGGAACATGAATTTGCACCAAACCGTAGGTGATCTGTTGGACAAATTGATGGCTCCAACACAGCGAAATCTATTTCTGTCCACACCTAGGTCCTCCAGTAGAGAGGTTAGAATAAGGGTACCAACTTTTCCCTGTCGTCTATTTTAGTAGGGGGTTCTCAACCAAACAAGGGGTGAGAAAGGGCACCTAGCTGGGGGACCTAGAAACCAACCCAAACGGACACCTGTGCACCAAGGGCAGAGCATCCTCATTGATGTTCCCTTTCGTGGGCAACCTTGGCCGCTCTCACCTCAACATGTGGCTCACCCGAAGCGATCCTTCGGCAACGCGGCAACAGGGAGACGACGCCGTGGTCATAGAAGTAAAAGGTCTTTGATTTTGACTCACCAGCCAGATGGGAGAACTAGAAGCATAATGTTAGTTTGTCTCAGTATGTCCAAATCCGAATTCGCAATCTGCTCCGCACCTGGCGCGTACGTCCATGGGGATGCTACAACCAGCTCCAGCTGCTCCACTGATGTGCTGACGTGCGGCATGGCACACGGTGGATCGCAAACGGCGGAGGCCATTGGGATTGTTTCAAAGCTATCCCAGTGGATCCAGTAACCCCGGAAACTAGGTACCAGGTAACTACTCGATGGACCAGTTCTGAGTCGATCTAAGCCTCAACATTGAGGCGCTCGACATGTCCAACAATATTCTTACAAGAAAGATGTGGGGAGTGAAACAATACTCCTGGTCGCCAAACGAGCAGGCTAACTTTTCTCATTTCGTGGGAGACCTCATCTTGTTTTCCCCAAAAGGTTGTCCCACACCTTTTGACCAACTCCCTATGGAACACCCAGTTGGCAAAAAGTTCTCACGTCCTAACATCCCGCAAAATGCAAAGCTTTGATCAACCCTTGGGGAAACACCATGGGAACCCGACAGGTGCCTGTTGGCTGGGCCTTCGCTGCCCGGGTCTTCACATCGGAGCCATTTGCTAAGTTGCCTCGAGGTTTTCATCTGGTTTCCCCCAATTCTACTGGATCCTTGCTTCAAATTGCAAGTGAAAAAAAATCCGAGCCATGCCTCGCAAGGAGCGAACCGCCCAAGTTTTGTCTTGAAGAGGCCCGTGGGCGTGATATCGCGACCCCATGAGTGGCACTAAATGGGCTTCAACATGTGGACAGGGCGTTCTGTCGGCCCGTCGACCGGCATGTGGGCTGAAAACCACCCAAATGTGCGAAGGCTTTGAGCCGTCCACAGCCGCAGGTTCAGAAAGAAGGCTGAAGCTGGCTAAGGCCAAGTTTAGGGATCGATCAAACGCGAGGGCACCGGTTTTTCCCCAACAGCTGAAAGCTTTGGGGTCTCAGCCCAGATAGGCTCCGGGGTGGTCCGGGGCGGCCCTGAGGTAAGGTTCTACGAGGGTTCCACCAGGGTTCCACGAGGTTCTGCGAACACTAAAAAAGTGCACCATGCTGTTGGGGATATCACCTGAGCTTATTTTGTTTGGCATGAAAGGAAACCAAACCGGAAAGACACATTTTTGAGGTTCCTCTATTTTGACACATGCCCACATGGGTATGAACCACTGCCACCCGAACATGGAATCGGAATGCTATTTCTACTTTTAACACGTGGGAGCAGCATGAATCATAAGAAGTGGAATGGGAACAATTGAACCTCCCTCCCCCTCAAAGTCGGCGATGTGTCTTCGGTGTCAAGATCAAAACTACCAGAGAGCACCGAGCCTCAAACCAAGACACACGCACCGCATTGAGATGTATTCGCTCCATGCATTTTGGACGGTGTTGCAACCAAGTTGGCACTTGGCACCGTGTAGTTTGCAACCACGGGTATGCCTTGCGAGCTTTCTGGGAACGGCCTGCAACGCTGGATGGACTCAAAGATTGCCTCACTTGCTGAGTGGATGGCCAAAAAGAAGTCCAAACTTTTTATTTACCACTAAAATGGTCTTCCCAAACAGTTTAAAGTTCATGAACTCAGGAAGTGAGTTGCAGCCTTTTAAATTGAAGAGAAGCCATGTCTCGATGTCTCGAGGTTGGCGCTTCCAGAGAGTGACCCGCAACGTGAAAAAGCCCAGTCCGTTGGTGGTCAAGTTAAGTGGGGAACTCGAAAAACAAGAAGGGAAACCGGTCTGCCACCCACCAACTGGGGCAAACCGAAGTTCTGAGCAACCCATGTGGCCATGGGTCAAAAGCCAAAATCAAATCGTACCCCCAGTGAATATCCGATTCAATCCCCACTAAGATCCCGAAAAATGGGTGGTGCACCTACCCCAAAATGGGTCCCATTGGATTTGACCCACAGCCATGTAAATCACAGACTCTACGTGCAGAACCTACTTGCACTATCTTCAACCGAGCAATCCGCAGCATGTACAAAAGGAGTCGACCCTGTAGAAACCTCAAATGCTTTGCAAACCTGGGAAATGATTCTGGCAAGAGCACGTAACACGGCGGCATCATGGATGCCGCAAATATTGCAAATGGGGGATCTGAGAAGCCCATGGCTGTACAGTTGAGCATGGTTGGCTTACTTGCAATATAACAAAGGCATCTGTAGAGCCCCCAAGCATGCAAGCAACACAGGGGTGCCCAGAGCACCCAAGCGGGTTTCTCAAAACGGGCCCCTTTGGAGGGAAACCAAAAAGGGAATCCAACCCACGTGTCTCGGGTGTCTCCTTAGGGTACCCTTGGGGGTCCTAGACCCGCGACGAGTGACGGGTGCGCGAGTCTGGATCCCACTTTTCCGAAATGAGTCAGCTGTTCCAGTTGGACTGCGGTTGGCCGAGAAAAGTCCTGGAACTTGTTGTTTAACACCAAGATGGTGTTCCCAAAAAGTTTAAAGTCCATGAACGCAGGAAGTGAGCTCTGGTGGACATCAATTTCCGTGAGGATCGTTGTTTTGGACGAGTTTTTGGAGGGAAGCTGGAGCGTTGAAACTCATAGCCTTGCCTCTGTGCAAATGTCAAAACTTGCTACCGCAAGGGGCGTGTGTGAAGTAGACGGTTCCAACAGTGGTTGAAACTTGGAGCTCATCCCATCTCCCAACTGAACCCCGAACGGACCGCCTGCAAACATTGACCAAACATGGTCATGGTTGCCCTACCAGCAATCCTCATGGTTGTCCAAGTCCCCGACAAAGTTAATGACCATCCTTACTCACCCCAAGCAAAAGCAGTAGATTCTTACGATGGCTGTCCAACTCTCCTATTGAGGGTTCCATGACCATCCCTAAATCAGAGTAAAACAAGCAAATCTGCAGAATGGTTGCCAACCTCTCGTTAGAGTTAAAGGGTTGGTGACCATTCTTTCAAATTGTGTTTGTCACATGGGGGTGATTTCTTTTGAGGATGCCCACTTTTGCTTGGTTTTCAAAGGACACCAGAAGCCAAGCATTTTAGGGTCCGCCATACTGAGACAAACTCCTATGGGGGGTTCCAAACTTCAATCCTTGCCCAATACGCAGCCAGTCTTTCAGCTTTTGACACATCGGGCAACGGCTTTCCTCACTTGCCCGGGCAAGTCGAAATGAAAGCTCAACTTTCTGTAACTTTGACTACACTACCACGTCCTTGCGGAACTCCTGGCAAAAACACTCATTTTTGGAGCGCATTATGCTTTTGACTGGGATGCAAAACTCGCCAGTCCAGACGTTACCAACAATATGTTCACCACTCAGTAGTCCGGTACACCCGGATGACTGCTTTGGGACGCTGGCTTTGCTCACCGAAAAGGGTTAAAAGGGTCGGGGGGGGGGGGGCCAGGCAAACTCTCAGGTCCTTTGGACCATTTGTGGCTTTCCATGTGGTGCATATTTTTAACATAGCTTGTTGGAAGGGAGCCGGACTCGGAGCTGGAGGTATTCAAATGTGCCTTCTGGTTTTTTTGGCGCAGGGGATTCTTCGCTGGCGGCTGCCGGCACATTTTCTGCATAAGATTGCCCGAATTTTCGCACCCCAATAAGGATTCTGTCAGGGATATCTTTATCATGGGCTCAAGCCGAGTTCATCCTCATAACCCGCGATCGGTGAGTTAATCAGGAGTGGCAGTTGGGTTACTGCTCGAAGATCTTAGCAGAAAGTCAGCAGCAAAATGCATGAAGCTACAGTTGGAAGAAGGGATTGCCACTCATTTTCTGGGTGCATGAAAGTAGACATTTCAGGATGCATCTCGAAACCATGAGCGGGTGGAGACCATGTTTAACACTGTTTGTGCAGTTTAGAGCTGTGTTATAGTTTCAGGGTATGTGTTGTCGTTCTGGGAACTGGTACTGAGTGGTGAACATATTGTTGGTAACGTCTGGACTGGCGAGTTTTGCAGCCCAGTCAAAAGCATAATGCGCTCCAAAAATGAGTGTTTTTGCAATCCCACCTGTACAGAGCAGTTACTGCGAAACATCCCCTGCATTATCGTGCGTTTGGAAGTCTATTTTTTGGGTATTTAGGGGGGGTTGCTAGAATCTGTTTTTGATGGTTGATTTCGGGAAATATCGAAAACAAAACACCTGGTGTTCTGCACTTTTTTGGCTAGCCGGCTGCATTCCCAGCATTCCCGTCATCTCTGGTATTTTCTGTGTTTGGTCAATTGTGCGTGGGGACTGTCCACTGGCGTCGGCGGATCGCGTAGCGATTTCAATAAGAGTATTTCTAGTAGTGATAGATTCCCTTTAAACCAACAGGGGAAAATAAAAAAACACAAAAACTTAACCAAATGGAAGAAACATTGGAACGCATGAAGCACTGCTAGAACCAAAGTCAAAGGCACACGCGCAGTCCCATAGCTTATTGAGCTGAGTGTGAAAGTCGAAAATCAGAAGCTGCACGTTGTTGCCGAAATGGATGCAATCAACACAGCTAGTGGAACCTAACATAGCCTAGGTCCAGATTCGAGAGGTTAGAATAAGTTGGTACCCTTTTTCTGTAGTCTATTTAGTCTATTTTAGGTCCCGAACCCTCTCAACCAAAAAACAAAGAAACGGGTGAGAGGTCGGGCACACCTAGCGCACCTAGGGGGACCCAATGGACGCTCGGTGTTTTGCAGGTGCGCTCAGGTCTTCTGCATCTTGCGCTTGCCAAGTAGAATCAGCTTCTTGGCGAGAGCCTGTTCGGGTGACGCATGCGACGTAGGCTGTTCTGGTGCCACTCTCCTCGGGTTGAGTTTTTTTTTTTGGTGAGGGCAACCATTTTCAGGGTCATTGGCGACTTTTCTGTCTTTCCTTTGGAGGGTACCCTTTTTGGGGGGTATGTGTGTGTGTGTGCGGGCTTCTTCGGAGTGCAATTTCCGGGCGTGCGTTTCGAAAGGGAACCAAATGGTCAGCCCGCTCTTGGCAGGTTCCGCGGGAGAAGGCCATATGGGCCATATATGGGCCATATGGGCCATATGGGTTTATCTTTCAAAGACCCTCAGGATGGCAGTCCTTTGAAGTTTCCCTTTCAAACCCTAATTTGTACCTTCACAAAAAGGACCGCCTGCCAACGCGAACAAAACTGACTCGTTTGGCTTCCTTGAATCTTCCCAAAAAATGCTGGGCAACTGGCTTCACTTTTGAGAACGGAGTACGCCCGATCACTAGGAACTCCCAGTGGCCATGGGCA